GAAGTAGTCACTGGTATGACTACTGGGTAGAGAGGCTTTGAACGTCATCATTTTTCAGCTCCTCCCTAAAATCAAGGCCTCTCCATTACCTGACACACGCTACGAAGCCTCAGCTCATCTCATAACCTCACTAGTTGCAAGATTATCTTTAAAGTTAACATTTTTGACCATTCTTTAATTTTCTTAAAGGCTGGTTCACCCGGCAAAATTTTAAAATTGTGTGGTGACCTAAAACCCCCACACATAAAATTTGGAATAGTACAGTTTTGGCCCTACAGAGTAGTTAGCAGTTTTTCCAGCCAAAAGACAAGCACAGCATACCACAAATGGACTGATTTCAATCAGAACAAAGGTGTCAGACAGGAAATCTTGCCAAATCTCTCAAGATAAGATGTAAGTTTTGTGTAAATAAACATGGCAGAAGAACTGAGATGCAGGGATTAAAGTGTGTGGGCTGTTTTTATGGGAAAAAAAGAGGTATAAGTATAATGACAGTGTGAGCAGGCACTGCATGTTACACCATTACTTGGCTGTGAGCAGCCTTGGTGTTTGGTCTTAAGAAATGCAAATACAGACTGAGATGTAGCTCCTTTGGTTGATAGCTACTGAGACCAAAAAGCACAGATTTCATTGCTTATTCCTGTATATGATTTCAAGCTTTTCCTTTCACAGCAACTAAAGGGTCTCTGTGCAAATCAAAACAGAACATAACTGCTCACTGGGTTACATATTAAGAGAAAAAGTCTTGGATGTTGCTATGGATTGTTCCTCCCTCAGTTGTCCTTGGAAACACTCCACACAGAGCGATATGGGGCCAAGACAATCGCTGTATGTTGGATTTCCCAAATTTGTGTTCAGAGAGGTCCTAGTTCTTTATTACTATTATTATCAATGCTGGTCCTCGGTTCAATTTGCATGTTTTTTAAGTCATAACAAGGATTTTTTTTGGGCTACTCTATAAGCATGGAACTCAACGATACTCCAGACATTTCAAATTGAGAAAGCTTTCTGGATGGGAAGCGAAATGTCTACAAACTTGGAAAACAAAGTCCAGTGGTTTGTTTTTTAAACTAGTGTGGAAGGATTCACACATGGTTATGCTGGTTGCCACGGCCCTCTCAACATAGGAACTTCTTTTAAACTATGCATTCACCAGTAAGTGGTTCATATAGGGATGCTTAAAAGTATAATGTTCTTGCCTCAAATGATCTTAAAATCTACTTTTATAGAACAAACGGAACAGAAAAGAGATATTTTAACTTAATACTCTAAGCTATGTGAGCGCCCTCCTGGAAGCTGCTGCTGCCGCAGTGCATGCTGGGACAGCTGTCAACCTCAAGTACGGACAAGTCTGCTCTGATGCATGTCACTACCCAATCCGTTCCGGAAGCACAATCCGTTCTGTGCATTCGCCATCAGCTCATTTGCGCATCCAGATATACATCCAGGTTTTCCTCGATTGCATTTTGTTAAAACTACCTAAAAATAGTAAACATAGTAAAATATAATGTGTTAAAGGTTAATAATGTAATTCCTGACAAAAAAAGATACCTTAAAGTCCTTTCTGTTTTATCACTCGTCTCTTCCTGACCTGCGCCGGAAATGGGATCCTATGCTTCTGGTGGCTAACGTTTTCAGCTTTGGATTTATACATAAATCTAGTCTATTTGAGTTCTATGTTTTCGTTTAGTTTTAACCTTATGCTATATAATGCATAATCTAAAGAAAGAAACAACTAAAATACATGTCTGAAGATGACGTCAGAAAAGCAGTTTAACGAAGAAAGTGTAAAAAGCATAAACATTTTCTCACAAGTCATAAAAATTTTTTTGCAGATGTTTAATAGTATTCTTTTGTGAGTTAGGGATAGAAAAAAGTAGTTTTAGTACCATAATTACATTATTTATGGGCACCCGGATGTATATCTATTCGCGCATGCGCAGAACGGATCATGCTTCCGGGACAGATTGGGTAGTAACAATGCATACATCCCGGGGATTTGTCTGTTCTGTCTACTGTTCTTGTGAATTGGAACAGTTCTAGGACTGAGGGGATGATGTTTCACAAGCTCACGAGAAGGCACACGTAGGCTACACATATTCAGAAACGGCCTATATCTATTGAATTGACGTTACAAAAAAAGACAAAAATCTAGAAAACCACTGTTAAAGCACGAACCTTGTCTAGGAGGATTTTCCTGCTGCGCAAACCTCTTCATCCCCTCAAAATAGCTCCAGCATTAATAGGCGGGGTCGAGAGAAGAAGAAGAGAAGGAGAGAAGAAAGTATGTGCTTTAATCCAAACAATTCTATTTCAACCCTGGCTGTATGTTAATGGCTATTATCCGAGGGTGAATTTACATTAATGTGTCAGATATTCTGCATTTTCTGACATATGTTTTTTTTTACAGGATTTCTCTGAATTTATCTCAATAGATAAAAATCCCCATCAATCTTGATCAGTGTCTCTGTCACACCACTATATAGCGACAATGAACTTCTTTTTATTCTTCTGGATACTCTGGAGCCCCTGTTGGTTATGTGGAACTACTTTCCAGCCATTCTATCTGTAACTTGAATGTGTTTTAGCCACTAGCATTCTTTTTCCTTTTTATGTGTTAATATGTAAGCATAATTTATGTGTCCACAGCATGTTTTGTGTTTGCAGCTCGTTTGCATCTCTATTTTCTGTGATTGCAACATTTCTATTTTTCCTTTGTATATATTTTGTGATTGTCTAATTTTTGTGTTTTGAATTGTAAGGTTTGAGCTTTCTAGTCTATTCTCTGATTGCAGGTCTAATTTTTGTGTTTGCTGTGAATGTATGTATTTAAACAGAATGTTGAGGTTTTTTCTTTCTTTCCACTGTCTCTGCATGCATGCTAGCTCAGTTTGAGTGCTTGCTGTAAAGTCAACACAATGCAAGCAAATATCTACTGTTGCCACATGCCGATCCAGAAAGAGCATGCCCTGGTTTACCTTAATCAGAGGAAGTAACACAAAAATATCTAAATACTTTTAAGATATATCAAACTTATACACACAGGTAAAAGTATTGTTGACAAACCTTGTTTAATGAAAGAAAACACCAAATGGTCACATAAATGCATTGATTCTGAGAATAAGAGAGAACAAATAAAAGTTTTTCAACCATGACTTTAAAGAGTAAACTCATGAAACAGCCCTGGATATTCATTTGTATATTTTCCTAGAATTATACAAAAATAAGTAAAATTACTCCACAAGTGCAATAACTTTTTTTTTTTTTATATAATTAATGTGTATGAAATTATGAAACCACTATAAAATGTTATAAAAAAAAATAAGCCTCACTGTGTGCTTATCTTACCATGCTGAACACATGAAATCACAAGGAAGTGGGGGTGGGCTTCTCCTGTTTCACGCCGTGACAGAGCATCAACTCAGACAGCGACAGTAACTCAGCCATTACCGTTTAGACCAAGCAGCATCACTGCATATAAGAGAGAATCTGAAGTATCCATTTCACCATGTTAGTATTGATCTAATACGGATTTCTGGTTATCAAT